TGTTTATATTGTTTTATTTATATTGCAGCTGAACCTTTTTAATTTTAACACTAATTTTATGAATCTTATTTTAAAACCTTTTTCTGTTTTTCGAGATATTTAGGTGCTTTTATGAAGGAAATATTACTGCTTTATATTAAACTAGACAACCTATTAGAAGTCTAATATACTACTAGTGATTTGGTTTCTAATAAGCATTAAAATTAGTACTGCTAGTATTACTAGCAGTATTAATCTGTATGGTACAGGTATTATAGTTTAGGCAGGAATAAATATAAAGAGTTTTTGACTGTTAACGGTCTTAAACTCTTTATAGTTATCCCTGCCTAAACTATAACGCCTGTATCATGCAGAATAATACTATCTATAACAAATGTCTAATAACTAGTAATTACTAGTAATATACAAGTGTCTTATAATTAGTTATTAGACACATTAGTATAGTAGGTAGATCTATTTATTATAAGAGAGTTATTATTAGTTATTTAACAGTTGACAAGATGGTTTTGTTTGCCATATTGTAGTGGACAAAACCCTTTTATATTTGTGATCTACAATGGTTTAGTTAGGAGAATGCATGGCTACTGATATAGAATAGAATACAAGATAGAAAACAAAACTAAATAGAAAACAAGACTAACTAGGAAATAAGAAATAACTGATTCATATTTCTTTATAAAATTAAGAAACTATGATTGTATCAAGTCAACTATATTTTATGGTAGGCAAGTTGACATACCTGCAAGACTTACAATAAAGAACATGAAAATGTCTTGAACAATATATGATTAAATGAACAAAGAATAAAAAATGGATTATCTGAAAATCAATTAGAATGTAGAATGAAAATTAATTATCAGTCTGGAAGTGGGTTAGTTGTTTATTTCCTGTCTTAATTCCTACTGATACAATTAAAGCAATAAAGTTGTTATGTTTGGCTGATATTAGTAGTCAAGTTGGAGTTTCAGCAAAAACGCTATTTATTCTACAACACAATTTTTAAAAAAATTCTGTTTTGAATAAATTATTCTAAAAATATAATAAGGCAACTTAACGTGATAGATAAATCTTGTACGAATAATTGCCATCGCCTTGCTACACTAATAGCTGATTAAAAGGTTTCGGATGCTGAAACAACTATCAAACTTCAGCAGCTTACTATCTTTTTTTATAGGGAAAGTGTCTTGGATCTTTTTATCAAAACTCCTGAATATATTTACATATATTTTGATTTGTTTGAATAGTTTTTAATTAATTAAATCAAGCAATAATTTTTAAAAAATGACAAAATTATATAATATATAAAAGAAATAAAAACTCTGATTGAACTATGTTTATACCGAGCATACTTTTTATGGAACAATGAAATACATGAACTTGAAAACTCAGGTCCAATAGGTCTTTCTTTTATGGTAGTTTTAGCTGAATCTTTTCTTCAAAATCTTGAAAAAGAGCGCTTAATATAGCGCTAAAAACCAACCTGATTATTGACATAAAGTCATTATATAGATACGTAGATGACAGCCATGCTAGAGTCCCTGACATTGCCCAGGCTAATCAATTCAAGACAATACTTAACCAACAACATCTAAAAATACAATATACAATCGAATTTGAAAATGACATAAAAACACTAAATTTTCTAGACTTATGCATAATAAATAACAAAAATGGCAAATACGAATTTAAAGTACACAGAAGAAATGCAATTACTAACATTCAAGTTAAGGCAACATCATACCATGACCCACAAATTTTAAATTAAATATTCAAGGATTTTGTACATAGAGCATTTAATGTATGCAGCCAGAATCATATAGAAAATGAACTGAAATTCCTTATTCAAGTATTTGTCGAAAATGGTTACAAACATTCCAATCTCATAAAAATCATAAAAGAAATAAAACGAAAGTACAAAAAACATCTAGTGACTACTAAAAACATTGACAACATCACCAGTACGTACCCAACAATTTCATTACCTTTGGTAACAATATTGTCTCCCAAGTTGCGTAAAGTGTTTAGGAAGGCAGGATATAAAACGGTCTTCAAATCAAACTTAAACCTAAAAGCAATATTGAATTCAAGAAATAAATCCAAACTACAAAGGAACAGCCACCCAGGAGTTTACCTTATTAAGTACCATTGTAACAAAAAGTATATTAGTGAAACAAAAATGCAAATAAAAACACGCATGCAATAACACAAAAACAGTACAATAGGAAATAAAACAGAAAGATCAGCATTAGCCACACACATGAAACATTGTGCACAACAAATTAACTGGGACAGTTGCAGAACTCTAAAAGTCACTAACAAAAAGTTTGATAGGAACGTTCGTGAGGCGCTTGAAATATTGTACCACTAATGTGCCCCAATGTGCCACCAATGTGATTTTATTATACATAAATATCAGGGATTCTCTTTTTCCTGATATCTTCCAATTTCCGGATATTTTTTTCAAGTTTTAGTTTTTCTAATTATCTACAATATCTTACATTATTATTAGTTTAAATGAATATATTTGAAAAACAGAAGTTTATTAATTATTTAATTTATTAGCAATAAAAAGAAAAAAAAATGTTTTGAAAAAATTAGACTTTTTATTTAAAAAAATGTTTGTTGTTAAACTTTTCAATTCTCTTTAGAGCAAAAAGAAATTAAACCTCCACTTAGTAAGTAATGATTATTTTATTCAACTTATATGTTTTTTAATAAGATATTATATGTTATGGATTGTACAGAATATTTGAGTTGAAAATTGAAAAAATAAACCAATATGTTTTATTAGTTTGATGTATGATTAATTGACATTATAGAAAACGTACAAATGTATTTATATATATAAATATATATATATATATATATATATAAATATATATATATATATATATATATATATATATATATATATATATATATATATATATATATATATATATATATATATATATATATATATATATATATATATATATATATATATATATATGTATATATATATATATATATATATATATATATATATATATATATATATATATATATATATATATATATATATATATATATATATATACATCCTTTTAGTGAGTAATTATTATATTATCAACTTATATATAGAGTTAATTATATATAACATGTTATGCATTGTACAGAAAACTGTTATAAATGAAAAAAATAAACCAATTTGTTTTATTTATTTAATGTATAAATTATTGACATTGTAGATATATATATATATATATATATATATATATATATATATATATATATATATATATATATATATATATATATATATATATATATATATATATATATATATATATATATATATATATATATATATATATATATGTATGTATATATATATATATGTATATATATATTGCAACTTTTATTTTTTCAGGATATCTAAAAAGTCTTCTATAATTACAAGTTTAAATTAATAATTTTGCAAAACATATGTTTTTAAGTTTTTTATGTCGTTACCCATTAAAAAAGGAGAAAATATTTTGAAAAACTAGGATTTTTTTTTTTGAGAATTGTTTATTATTATACATTTTCATTTTGTTTAGAGAAAAAAGAAGTTGAACATCTTCCTAGTGAGTAATGATCATTTTATTCAACTTATATTTCAGTGGGAAAGAAGACGTTGAAAAGACGTCTTTAAAAGTCTTGTTGACGATGTTTTTAATATATTTTTTTTTAAATCAATTATGCAAATCTAAAAGACATCTTTTATCGACATCGAAAAGACGTCTTTTTTTATCTTAATTTTCTCATGAAAAGACATAAAAATGGCGCCTTAAAGACGCCTTTTTTTAAATAATTATGCAAATCCAAAAGACATCTTATACGACATCAAAAAGACGTCTTTTTTTATTTTCATCTTGTCATGAAAAGACTTAAAAAATGCGTCTACAAGAAGTCTTTTTTAGTCGAATATGCAAATCTTAACGGCATCTTTTTTTGACATTGAAATTGCTTTTTTTTGTCTTTATCTTGTCATAAAAAGACATAAAAAATGCGTCTTTAAGACGTCTTTGTTTATCAGTCATGCAATTCTAAAAGTGTGTTTTTGCTCGGGGTCGGAACGACTTTTTTGTTATACTTATTGGTATTCTATAGTATTCTATACACTATAGTATTCCTACTTTTCCTTTATGAATTTTTTTTTTTTTAAATGAAAATGATAATAGCTCTTCATTCAAAGTATGACAAAAAGGTTTTTCCAATGCCGAGAAAAAAACCTCTTTTAGATGCCAATATAAAAGAAAAACCATTTTCTACATCTTTTATATGTTTAAATATAGGAGAATAATTTATAAATAAAAAAAATAGTATGGTTCAACAGAATATTTTTTCATCTTTCTCTTTTTTTTTTCTGTTTCTTGAGCGAGCTCTGTTTCTTGGCGTTGTTGAATAAAATTAACAATTTCACGTCGAGAAATCCTTTTATAGGAGCAGGTTACGACTTCTAGCTGGTTACCACTTCTAAAAAACAAGTGAACATGAAAAACTGTCTATTGCTTAATAGTAATACAAAAAAAGCAAGCGAAACTTGATTAGCTGAGTGGAGTACATTATACTTAACGACTATTAATTCAAAAAAGGCTGATCCTTTTAATTCACTCATGTTTCCAGCGTGGTCCCTTATTTTTGAACCCACTAGGTTAGATTGGGACAGGAGTCAAATGGTAAACAGTCTAAAGATATATAAAAATGAGTGCTAAATAATTTTACAACCATCAAAATGACTGTACAACGATGTATTTTATTATGTAGTACTTAAATCAAGCTAAATATTTGCACCTTTCAAGTTTTCTATAAAAGCTAAGTTATTGAAAACAGATATTGATATTTTTCTGTCTTCTATAACATGGCTTTTTAACTGAATTTCGCTGAAATTAAATGTTGTAGACTCATAACAATTCAAAAATCCGTTATAGACTAAAGACTATCACTATAAATATATATATATGTATATATATATATATATATATATATATATATATATATATATATATATATATATATATATATATATATATATATATATAAATATATATATATATATATATATATATATATATATATATATATATATATATATATATATATATATATATATTGCAACTTTTAGTTTTTCAGGATATCTAAAAAGTCTTCTTTAATTACATGTTTAAATTAATAATTTTGCAAAACATATGTTTTTAAATTTTTTATGTCATTACTCATAAAAAAAGGAGAAAATGTTTTCGAAAAAGTAGGATTTTTTTTTTGAGAATTGTTTATTATTATACATTTTCATTTTGTTTAGAGAAAAAAGAAGTTGAACATCTTCCTAGTGAGTAATGATCATTTTATTTAACTTATATTTCAGTGGTAAAAAAGACATTGAAAAGACGTCTTTAGAAGTCTTGTTGACGATGTCTTTAATATATATTTTTTTAAATCAATTATGCAAATCTAAAAGGCATCTTTTATCGACATCGAAAAGACGTCTTTTTTTATCTTAATTTTTTCATGAAAAGACATTAAAAATGCGTTTTTAAGACGCCTTTTTTTATTTAATTATGCAAATCCATAAGACATCTTATACGACATCAAAAAGACGTCTTTTTTTATCTCCATCTTGTCATGAAAAGACATAAAAAATGCGTTTTAAAGAAGTCTTTTTTAATCGAATATGCAAATCTTAACGACATTTTTTTTCGACATCGAAAATGCTTTTTTTTGTCTTTATCTTGTCATGAAAAGACATAAAAAATGCGTCTTTAAGATGTCTTTGTTTATCAATCATGCACTTCTAAAAAACTGTTTTTTCTCGGGGTCGGAACGACTTTTTGTTATACTTATTGGTATACTATAGTATTCTATACACTATAGTATTCCTACTTTTCCTATTTGAAAAAAATTTTTTTCAAATGAAAATGATAATAGCTCTTCATACAAAGTATGACAAAAAGTTTTTTCCAATGCCGAGAAAAAAACCTCTTTTAGATGTCAATATAAAAAAGAAAGCATTTTCTACATCTTTTATATGTTTAAATATAGGAGAATAATTTATAAATAAATATATAAATATATCTATATATATAATATATATATATATATATATATATATATATATATATATATATATATATATATATATATATATATATATATATATATATATATATATATATAATATATATATATATATATATATATATATATATATATATATATATATATATATATATATATATATATATATATATATATATTAGGGTAGGCTAAACGCCCCTCATTTTTGAAAATCAAAAAGCTCTGTTTTCTATGTGGTGTGGGTGTACTCTTTCATCAATAAAAACTAAAATTTAACTCATTTGCATCAATTTTTGACGCGCTTAATCAGCTCAAATATCAAATTTAGAACTCAAAAACTCATATATTGACCGGTAAGATAACCTTCAAAATAAAAATCTCAAAGGCACTGTTTTTTAATTGATTTTTAATGTTCATATGATCATTTTAAGCCTAACTTTATGATAATTGAATAAGGCTAAGACTGTGCTCAAGAATTTTGGACTCGGTTTCCTTTAAAATTATCCGGGTTTCGCAGCATTTTTTATTAACTGGTTTGTTTATTTTACAAAGATCGCAATTATTTTAGACGTCTTAAGCAGTATTTAATTTTTTCGCATGGAAAAATTGTTGAATAATTTTAGTTAAGATAATTATGGTAAAAGATCATAATGTTAAGTTTTTTGATAAATGATATTATTGAAATACTACCATCATCTTAATTGCCTACTAGAGAGCAAGTTCTGCAATATTTACATTGCAAACTATTCAAAGCAAGAAAAGAAATTTTAAAACATAAACTCTGTGATATGGTTTCTTGCAAATTTCCACATGGGAGTTGTGAAATTGGTTGCAATAACCCTGGAGGGTGTTCTTTTCTTAAATGCACATGTGTTGTTTTTTCATTTAAGAAAATCTGAAAAAGAATTTATTATATATTTGTAATTATATATTATATAGTTACAAATATATAATAAGAATATTTTTACCTTATTCTAAGAATCTTACTGTAAGAATAAAATGTTGTTTTCTTTATATAGAAGTAAGATATTGTGTTGGAAGATCAAAGAAAGAAGCTTTTTAAGAACAAATAACGTGACACACCACAAATATTAAGAAAAATAGATATCTACAAATGTGAAATAAAGTGCTTATTTGATATTGGTGTGAATACACCAACATAAAAGCAAAATATTTTATCAAACAAGCAAATGATTAAAAAGGAGAGAAATATTGGTATAAATTTGTTGATTGATCGACAAGAACGTAAAACTAGGATGGGTGGAATAGACTAGAAGTACTTACTTGTAGCTCGTAGAAAGCAAAAGGAGATCGAATCTAACAATAAAAGAATGACTACTTCAAAAAGTAAAAAATTGGCTTCTAAATTTATTACCAATTTAAATTTAAATCAGGTTAGCAATTGCAGTGTAGAATAAAGTTACAAAGAGGATAATCAAGATTTTTAATATCAAAAGTAAAGCAAACCAAGATCTTATAAAAGAAAACCATATTTTGTTGAAGTTATCCTACCTAGGAAAATCTTAAAGGCCACTGCTGTTTAAGCAAAGAGATATGGTATTCAGAGTTCAGCACATATCGCAACATTGGCTAATGTCATTAATTCAGAAGGTGGAAATCTAAAAGACTTTGATACTTCTGTTACATTTGCAAATGTTCATTCAAGTGATGTGATTAGTTATAATAGTTTAAATTAAAGAATATTATATTGAAATAGCCAAGGAAAAACTGCTTGGTTTTTATTTTTATACAAAAATAATAAATCAGTATTTTTATGGTGCAAATATAAATGTTGAGCGCTTAGCACTAGTGATTTTAAGTCCTAATATCAATAAAGAACGGTTTATTGGAAATTTCTTTTTCAGATTTTTATTAGCGAAGAACAATGCAGTTAAAAAGTAACACCTTCCAAGTTATACATTTAAAACTGCTATAGGGGAAATTTGCATATACAGTGAAATCCAGTTAAGTTGAACGCTAAAATGGAATAGATAAATTGTATGACTTAGAGAATGTCCTACTTAGGCGAAGCTCTTGGTTTGTATAGAAAGTCCAAGGGAAAATTTGAAACCTGACTAACTTATTTAGTGTTAACGCTTTTCTACTGTAACTATATCACAGAGTCTATATTAAAAATTTTATTTTTTAGTTTTGATTTGTATACAAATTAAATATTGCAGAACTTGATATCTATAAGGCAGTTGAGAGGGTGTTCTCTATATTTCTAAAGAATTTAATAAAGTCATTTATCAAAAAAACTGGTATTTTGATTTGATATCTTTTCCCGCTTTTTTTAAAATAATATAATGTGATAAGTTATTAATAATAGCAATATTTTTTATATACTGTTATATAGGCATGTCATACTTTAACTTAAATATAACACAAACAAACGCTTAATTCAGTTCTTTTTTGTTCAAAAAGTTAAAAAATTTGTATAAAAAATGAGGGGGTGGGGGTGGCGTATTCTCTACCCAGCCTAAGGCTCCCAGCAACTGCAATCTTATTTAATATAATGCTATTATTTCATAACAGTTTTGTTATGCCGAAAAAGTAATTATAAATAAAAAGCCCCCTTAAAGATTTGCAATCCCAATAAAATAAAAAAACCGGCAGTTTTAAAATGTTATAGAAACCGTGTTTTTTTTTAAGAAACCAGGTCAAAAGTTTAGTCCTTTTAATGCTTGTAGGCAGCATAAATCTTATTGAATTACGATAGGATTAGGCTTAAAATGATCGTAAACTTCTAAAAAATCAGATGAAAAGCATTATTTTAAACTCTTAAGGGTGTTTAAACTGTTGTAATACGAAAATTTGTAATAAAAATTCGATCTTTGAGCCTGTTGAGTGGGGTCAAAAAATTCTGCAAATGAGTAAAGTATTGTTTTTTATTGATCACAGAGTGCACCCACAGCATATGGAAAACCTTTTGATTTTCAAAAATGAGGGGCGTTTAGCCTACCCTAATATATATATATATATATATATATATATATATATATATATATATATATATATATATATATATATATATATATATATATATATATATATATATATATATATATATATATATATATATATCTATATATAAAAATATACTTATAGTTTTTTTTTTATTTTTTTAATTTTCACATTTGTTCGTTGTATTACAACTATATGTTGTCAAAAAAAATAAAGATAATAATAAACTTTCACAAATATAAAATAAGGTATCTAAAAGAAGATCAAAGGATCTTGTCGTCAGAACCTTAAATAAGTTTAAACAAGCATTAACAGTATCAAATTTTTACAAATTTCGTATATATATAATCCAAAAAGATATCACGTGGATCTACTCACCAATATTTTATATAAACGTATACGTTAAGTAAAAAATATAAAATCAACAAAATAAGTAAGAACAAACTTTTTACAAATGTAAATAAGAAAAGGCACAGTTATTAATTCATATTATTATTAAATGTGGAAATGTAGAAAGAACAGAAATAGGGCGATAGTTACTAACAATTGATTTGTCCCCTACTTTGAAAATAGGAACAATTTTTAACAATTCGGGGAAAACACCGAATTGTTAAAAATTTGTTTGTTGTGTTTTCCCCGAGGTACAATTTTTAACAATTCGGGGAAAACACCGTGATGGATAGAAGCTTTAAAAACTTTAAAAAGAACAGTTTTTAGCTATTCAAAACAATCTATAACAACGTTTCCATTTATTTGATCTGCTCCAATTGCTTTATTTTTTTTTAACGATTTGAAGGCTCTTTCAAACTCTTCAAACAATAATTCAGACGACAACTCAACTGAACCAATGCAATTATCAATGGGTACTAGAAAATCAGTAAATAAAGATTTGGTCTTAGTTAGTGGTCCAAGTTTTCGGTGAATAATGTTTGGACTTTTTTTTCAGTATCCCTCCATGATTCTTCATCGTTCTCGTAAATTCCATCAATCCTAAGATTGTTTCGGCGTGGTCGATCTTCTTCGTTGTTTTTCTTTTAATACATTATCTTTTTTTGTATAAACCATTTTTTTATCTAGATATTTGTTGTTAGTAATTATTTTTTCGTCGATAAATCCTTCATTAAAATTAAGGCTTACCTTTATATCTTCTAATTCTTTTGTTAATTTTTTTATACAATTTGCATTTCCATCAATATTTTTCTCTACTTTTTCAAATCTGTCGTTTATTATTTTGAGCTTAGTCCCAATAATATCAAAAACTGCTTTTTCTTGCTTTTGAAACATTTCTTCCGTTTCATTTTTAAATTCTTTGAACATTTCTTTTAAAAGTTTCTTTATTTCTGGAAGTGTTACAGCCATATTATTAAGTTAAAATTTTTTATTAAGGATACGTCTTTATTTATAATAAATAACAAATTTTTTATTTTTTATTTATTTTTTTTTTCGCCACGAGGTAAAAAGTAGGGATGTACCGAGCTAAAATTTTGCCGAAGCCGAAGCTTCGGCCGAAGCTTCGGCCGAAGCCACTTTGTCGAAGCCGAAGCTTCGGCACTATTTATGCTTAATTTAATCAGCATTTAGGTCAGCAGGGGTGTAAAACAAAAAAGGGTTGTTAACCAAAACTACGGTCCTTGACTAATAATATAAAAAAATCGCATAAAAATGAGGACGCCAGTCAGGGTTGCTGTCCCAGGCAGGGCAAAAGCTCTCAGCGCCCCTGTTTGAAAGTTTCTCATTATGTCGTTTCTGATACTTGACCGCACTGAGCGTTTTTTTATTAAACCTAAGCTTTTTTGAAACATTCTCCCCAAATTTTCCGTCTTCTAGTTCTACTTTTTCTGTGTGCAAACCATATTAATGTTATATAGCATCTTTTTATGTGCTATATATTTTAATTTTATTTTTAATGCACCTTTTGTTAATGGAAGTGGATAAAAATCTCTGAACATTACTAGAGTAAATTTATCTTTTGCACTTGATCACTCTTTCTTTAAACAAACTCTCTTAGCTGATCTAGTTGTATCTACAACATAAAAAATCTTACAAACACACTATCTTTTTATTGCTATTTATTTCAATATCTTTTTTTTACTTCTCTGTATTCATTAAACCAACAATTTCTAACCTAAAAAAAAAAAAACCAGGTTAAGACCATTTTGTATTCCAATACAACTGTTGTGAACCTGCTGCAAAAAAAAGTTCAAATGATAGATTTCTCTCTAACTTCTTTTTTACACACTTTTAAGTTGTTTTTTTTTGATTATTTTTAACTTTCACTACATAACATTTTCTTTAGCTTCTTTTAATCTTTTACACTCTGAAATCTTACTATTCATTTTTCTTCTGTCTCTGTAATGGATAAATCTGCATCAGTATCTGAAATCAAATATTAACTATCTGTGATAAAAGTATCCATAGTAATCTAACAACTCTGTAGAGTGAGCTTTAAATAAAATAATAAATTGAATACTTTATAAATTTTTTATTTATAATTATATTATTATTTACTTTATATTTATAAATAAACAGGGACTGAGCAGGCTGATATTTATTTGATTTTATTTGTTTATATAATTTAAATAAATTTTGATGATAAATATAAGAGCTCAAAGTAATCAAAGCTTCAACCTTTAATTTATTTTAAATAAAATTTAAAAGTCTTTATAATATCATAAAAAGATACCAGAATATAGGTTTACATGTTTAATATATAAAATCAATTTAGAAGTATTCATAATGTTATTAAAAGAGCAAGGATAATTATTATCATTGTTTTTCTTTTTCTTTTAATTTATCTAGATTTTGTTGACTTTTTTTTTCTTTTTTTATTCTCCGCATTTAAATTTCATTTGCTTTTCTTCCTTTTTTGTTGTTGAGAACTTTATGTTTTTCATGTGTCACTCGATTGACTAGTTTGTATCTATGTAAGTGACACCTAATCAATTTCTGTAAATTTACAATCAAAATTTTTAAATGTTTATTAATATGGTTAAATAAAATTTAAAAAAATTAAACATACACACAATTTAAAATAGTAGCAACGTATCTTTAATTTTCTTTAAATTGAGATTACTAAGGTTTATAGGTCAAATGTTGAAACCAAATTTCGTTCTATTTGCGGTAATCCCACACAATAATTAATATGAATTCGTTACATAATACAAATTAAGGTTTTTTTTCCATTTTATTTTTAAAAACTGTTAATTTGTTTTAAATTATAAGGTTTTTATTCTGCATAGAAATGCTGATTCAGTTCATCTAAAGTCACACTTTGAAGCCTTCAGAGTGTATGAGGACCTTTCCTAGTATTATTATTACTTTCAAAATATTTTTACTTATTTATTATTTTCCCCTCCATAACAAGACACTTGGGAGTAAATAATACTAAGTATATGGTATAGACTCCAACTTTAACTCTGTAGTCTTGAATTTGTAACTTAATTAGACACTGGCAAATAGCGTATTTTTATAACTTGTACAACAGTAGCTTATAACTTTAATTACTGAAAATTTTTTGCCGAAGCCAAAGATTCGGCAACAAATTGACCTAGCTTCGGCCGAACCGAAGCTTTGGCTTGCCGAAGCCGAAGCTTCGGTACATCCCTAGTGAAAAGTGCGTCCGTTCTTGTTGAAAGCTTGAGTTGAAAAAGTAGTCGAAAGAGACTTTTATGGTAAAAAAAGTCTCTTTCGAATACAATTTTTTACCTTGTCTGCATTTTATTGTTGTCAAAATATCGAAGCAATAATAACGACTAGAAAGTTTTTTTTAATTAGTGGTGTTTTTTTTTTTTTTATTTTTTTATTAAATACCATTTTTAAAAGATGCGTAAGTGTTGTACATCGACTATCTTATAGCCTGCTGCTACAAGGGAGTGTTGCTACATCGACTACCTTATAGCCTGACTCGCAACGGAGTGCTGCTACATCGACTGACAAATAGCCTGACTCGCAAGGAAGTGCTGCTACATCAACTGACAAATAGCCTGACTCGCAAGGGAGTGCTGCTACATCGACTGACAAATAGCCTGACTCGCAAGGAAGTGCTGCTACATCGACTGACAAATAGCCTGACTTGCAACGGAGTGCTGCTACATCAACTGACAAATAGCCTGACTCGCAAGGAAGTGCTGCTACATCAACTGACAAATAGCCTGACTCGCAAGGGAGTGCTGCTACATCGACTGACAAATAGCCTGACTGCAAGAGAGTGCTGCTAAATTGACTGAGGGTTTGGTTTGGGCAGGCAGTCTATCATTTAAAAGAAAAGAACTTTTTTTTGAAGTTTTTTAACATTTTCTGGTCAGGCTTATTAACGCGCTCTTTAAAACAACAGTTTATTAGAAAAACTTTGTGACTACCATGCAATATATATATATATATATGTATATATTTATATTTATTATTTATACATATATAATATATATATATATATGTATATATATATATATATATATATATATATATATATATATATATATATATATATATATATATATATATATATATATATATATATATATATATATATATATATATATATATATATATATACATATATATAGTTATGTAACATTTTTTTGCTTTTAGTTTTCCTAAATCGAGTTGCCCAAACTGAATTGTTTCAAACGAATGATTAGTATTTTCAAAAACAATTTTGCACCTGATACTTTAGTCGTTAGCACTTGTACCTAAATCACTTTGATGCACCTTGTACTTTGGTTGCTTATTACTCACAAGTTACAATTAAAAAAAAAAATTTTGATTTATTTCAGTTTTCATTTTTGATTTTGTTGATTATGTTTACCCCGTTTTTTTAGCTTATTTATAAAATCATCGAGTATAAGTTATAATGTAATTGAGTATTATTTATAATTTAATCGAGCTTTATTTATAATGTAATCGGGTTTTATTTGTACCTTATTTCATTTTTATTTAACAAAAAGAAATAAACTTTTTACCATATAGTGCTATTTCATTTTTCTAGAATAGGAAAGTCAAAACCACCATCTGTGTCAGACCTGGCATAACATTCAAAACATATTTGGATACTTTTTAGAAATAGATGATTTTAACTTTAATAAATCTTTCGTTATGAATAAATTGCAGTTTATCTATGTTTTTATCTTTAAATTGTGTAAATAAATTTAGATAAACTGTATATATAACACTATAGTATGTGCAATGCGCATAATTGCTTTAAAAGAGGAGAATTATTTTTTCGGAAAGATTATTATTACAGTTCTTAATTAAGTTACTATCTTATGCAATATTGCTGAACATTAAAGGGTAGTGCCTATATGTGTGTGTTGAACTTCGAACTTTGTTTGCCATTGTAACCTAGGTAATGGCAAAAAAAAAGTCGCGGCACTTTTTTTCATGAAAAATTGTGAATAAAAAAGTAAGCAAATATCTACATTATGTAAACTTGGAATTATGTTACATTAAAACATCTTTCATGTTTTACAGTAAATTTTTAATCAAAAATTTTATTGCGGTAACTCCTTAACTTTGATTTACAGTATTTATTTGCTCTTTATAATGTCCATTGTTTATTAAATAGTGTTAAAACTAGAAGTGTAGCGAATAAGTTATCGGGCTAAAATAACCGGATAATTAACTATCCAGTAAGATATATTATCAACCCGGCCGGAGAAAACGGATATTACATTGTACCCTTTCTTTTAAAGTTCCGACGTTTTTATAAAGTTAACACAGACGTTTAAACAAGTTTTAAATTGAGTAAATGATTCCAAACAAGCTTTTGAATAATTAGTGAAAACTGCTAATACTGCATTATGTTTTAATAATCGCTGTTTTAATTACGTAATGATCCCTAGCATAAGTGTTTCTTCAACTTAAACTCAAAGTGATAGAACAAAATTGGCAAGAGAGGCAAGCAATGGGGCTCAACAACAACTCAAACGGAGCAAAACTATAAGATGTCTTTTAATAAACACATTTAACGTCAATATTTTTGGGGGTGAGGAGTGGATTTTTTATATGAAAATTTAATTTTGAGCATTCTAAATCAAAAAAATTAATCGGCAAACAGCAAAATGGATGCTAACGCGAAATTTTTAAATGTCTTAGAAATGACATCAAGTTTTGTGCAAACTCGAAACAAAACCCTTTCGTTACCGGGCTCGGCAACCTAATATAAACCATGCTGCAAATGTATGCCGCCGTGGCGCAGTGGTTAGAGCGCTTTATAAGCAGGTGATGCAGGTTCAAAACGAGCTTTAGACATATTTTCGCGTCATAGTAAGGAAGGAAGCGTAAATCTTCTGATTAAATGCAGTTCTGCGGTGCTCTGTGACAAGACCGTACGGTCTTCTCAGGGCACCTAAAAATAAAATTAAAAAAAAAAAAAAAGCAATAATGAGGTGTCAAAATGTGATATCTTAAACTACTTTTGAAATTATATCATGAGTTTAAAAAATATTCAATTTCTTTAAAAAACTTACTCCTTTTTTTAAGTAATTTATCTTTCAAACAATGAAAAAAAAAATCTCATCAGGTCTTGTAATTAATAATGGAGGGTTTTTAAAATTAAAAAATACTAGCTTCCTATTGTTAATAAGATTTCCTCGTGCATAGTAAACTCTGCATAAATTAGAAGGACACCTATCTATTGCATCAGGTGATGGCTGTTTCGTTCCCAGAAAGTGACGCTTAGTAAGCCGGTATATAGTATTATAAGGAACAAGTATTGTGTTCAGCATTGATGAAGACAATAAGGTCATAAATAAATTAATTGCATCAAGAAAAAAAATATGAAAAAGTGGTATTTATGAGTTCTTTACAAAAATTGTATGGCTGTTTAGAATACCTTGAGAAATTAGACTTAATCCAAATTTTCGGTACTACTTGAAGGTTTTCCGTAACAGCTACTAGCTTTGAAGTTGTTGGTCAATACAGTCTACACCACCCATGTGAATAATGTATTATTTTACACAAATTGGTTTTTGAATATTCAATACTTGAGTTTTATCAATAAGTCTCATGGGTGTTTGGTGACATGTGGAAAACACGTAGGCAACTTTTTGATTACCTGAAGCTTTATCTTTCAATGCACGGAATTTACAAGCGAACATTTGAGTATTAACATCATTATTTTTATAGAAAACTGCATCTTCTTTTTCCTTAACTTCATTAAGAATTTCTTTTAAATAATTATATCGATTTCAAGGAACCGTGCCACATAGACGTGTCTTTCATTAAAAAAATACTTTCCTAGTGTTTTCGTAGTCTAATAATTGTCTGTGTAAAAACCTCTGAGTGACCTTGACTATTGAACGGTTCCATTAACACAGATGGTATTCTTTGTGATGAAAGCATTTGATCATTTATGTCATTATTGGCAAACAATTCTTTACCAAAGTATCTAAGAAAGTCTAGTGTTATTCCTTCTGAAGTTGCCAGCTCGTGTAATTTTATACCAAAACGGGCTCGCTTAGTTCTAAAATATTGACAAAAGTGTAAACGACCTTAATAAAGGACAAGCGAGTTATTGATACTGAGATTTCTTCCTGGTCAGTATATAGTTTTGAATTGTTTACGTAGAATGTTGATGTCTGGTCGTACTTGGTGAAGACGACCTCTGTTTTCATTAGTTGCCCTATAATTTTTATCTTCATTATTGTTAAAATGAGAAAATTTCAATAATAGAAAAAAACGATTTCGACTCATGACCTCTAAAAATATTGGAGTATTATACAATGCATCCTTCAACCAATACATATTGAGTTTGGTATTATAAATAACTCCCAGTAAAAGAATAATAACAATAAAGGTTTTAGTTTCTACAACATTAGTTTCCTCCCGTATAAAAGATTTATCTGATTTGACAGCGAAAAATTGCTCTGCATACCGATTAGTTTCTATAAATAACAAACTCACTAATTCAAGTGGAAAATAAAGTTCAACAAAATCGAGGGAAGTTAAGTTTTGCCCTATGCTAACTTTTAACCCCTCTTGAAAAAGTTCAGTTTTTAACGTAGAAAGCATATTTTAGACGTCTTTATAGGACGTCCTATAAAGACATCTTTTCGACGTCATATGGATGTCGGCGTGTCCACCAAGATCTGTTGTAATTGCTATACTATCATTTGTTTCAACTAATATAAGATTTAATTTACATTTAGGCTCCTTGTTCTTCTTTGATGCTTTCTGAAATTTTAGGCTACATATGTCTAAGGAAATAGTTGATGAACATGTAGCAAAACTAGCTGAAGAAGTTGAACTACACAACAAAGGATTACTTAAGTTATTTTTCTATTGGTTAGATTGAGACTAATTGGGCGTCTCATTAGATGTTTATAAGGAGTTAAAAAAAGAATAGAATGAGTAGGCTTATAATTTCTATATAAAAACTATAATCTCGTTACTGGAAACATAAATTGTTCATGTAAGTTTTAACTCATCATTAAGGTAACTACTGATAACAGTTTGCAATTCTTTTTATCAGGACATTTTTATTAACTTAATTTCTTATTAGTTTATTTATTTTATTATCTGCGCAAAACAAACATGAGTTTAACAATCAAAATTACTTTAAAAAAACGAATGATTTAAACATGCGTCGCAAAAAAAGAATTGCTTTTTTTTTTTTTTAAATAAATTTGTTCATATAAAAATAAAATAATAAAACTACAATCAAACATATTCACATCTCGCCGTTAAACAAACATAGAATTTAAGTATCCATTAAGAAATTACTTTAGCGTAAATAAAAAAAATTAGCTAAAAATTTTGCTTAACAAAATTTAGTTGATCCTTAAATAAAGAACGCATTAAAAAAATATGTTTTTTTAAAAATCAACGTTTCATAATCAAACATAAAAAGTAAATTTATGTGTAATATATTTAAAGAAAGAATATATATATATATATATATATATATATATATATATATATATATATATATATATATATATATATATATATATATATATATATATATATATATATATATATATATATATATATCACGGAAAAAAACACATCAAAACTTTTTCAGTATTTGTGTTAATAAGGTATAATATATATTAAATATTTCTCAACTGGGAGGTAATCCACTGTTATTCAGGGTGGTAGCCCTCCCACCATCACAGCAATACAAAGAAAGTACATAATTTAACATTCCTTCATCTTGTGCAAAGTATTATAGTTAATAAAATTGATGCAAATGGTAACTCAGCCAACAAAAACTTAGCACCGTCAATCGCACACCTCGATATCTAAATTATGGAGCTCATGAACATTATTTCAGAACAGAAAGCTACTATCAACTTGCAAGCCAACCAAATAAAAACAATTGAATAAAAAGTAGCAGTTATTAAAACAAAAATCAACTCTCAACCAGCTACCCAATCAAGCTCACAACAGCCATCCTGGAGCAATATTGTCAGAAACAAGCCAAACTCATCACCGCAAATCGGTCAAGTTCTTGTTGAACTAAAACAATTTGCTAAACGTGAACTAACAAGCTATAACCAATAAACCAATAGTCTACCAACAATCTGTACCACTAATATACGCTCACTCTGTAACAAAATTGAGATTTTTAATCAGTTTTTTATAGATACCGACATTGACATTGCCTGTTTAACTGAAACCTGGCTTAACGCTAGCGACAAGCAAAATATTCTTTCTCAAATCAATAATAATTACACTTGCATAAGCACTGAACGTCGAGATCGCATGGGTGGTGGTACTGTTATATTCATAAATAAAAAATACTC